TTGAGAGAGTTTTTTTAGTTTTTTTTGATCTTATGATCATGTGTTGATCGTTATCATTCTGAGAAGAGCAAGTGTAAAATTAATTTTTATTATTCGTGTAAATTATAGAGCATGCGACAAATCGGATAAATTTTTGAGTTATATGAATTTGTCGGACATAACAAACGAAAAACAATATATGTTTTCAATAATGAAATGTGTAAATATTTGTAAATGTAGTTTTATATATATAATAGACTATCATAATTAAAATATTTGTATATATCATATTAATCTAAATACATATATTCACAATAAATAATATTGTTACAAAAAATAAAAAAAAAATTAATATAAAAATAATAATTAAAAATAGATGATATGGTAAGTCTAAATATTACATTTAGTTGGACTTAGATTTGTAAAACATGTATTAATGGACTTATGTTATAAAATTAATAAGAATATGTAGAGATTTACACCATGGCATATAGCTTTAATTGAAATATTTCCATTGGTTAATTTAAATGACATGTTCTTTAAAACTAACATTAAGTGATATATATGATTTTTCACTTTAGTATCTCTTCAGTTAATATATAAAAGATTTGTTCGGTCCAGTCCAGTGATGTTACTAGTAACTTTACCGCATCAAAATGTCACAAGATTTGCTAATCGAAACTTCATACCTAAATATTCAACTAATCAAAAATTCAACTAAACCCACTACTATAACTTTATGATTATCCCACGTACAATTTTTGCTCGTACGTGTCGAACTATTTTGGGATAAAGATTATATCGCGGAACTTGACAAAAGATCTTCTATTTGGAAATAACATCGATGCCGTATAAAAGAAATTTACGTAATATTTTTACATTAAGAAACCAATAATTAGGGTACAAAATGTGAGCTCGCTTGTGTATGGATGGTAGCACAAAATAAGAAATCCACTCAATCGCGTTGAACAAAGCAGCCGCGAATGCATTAAGAGTAGATCATTAAAATGTAATTGGGATCAACGTGGATTACTTAAATAAATAATCTTGATAGAGAAAACCAATGAAAAAACATGGATTAAATAATGAAACAACTAGATTTTTATACAAAGAAAAAACGTGGATTAAAAAAATCAGACTCCCTCAAACTTTCTTTGCGTGGAATTAGGTCCACTGGTAAAAATATCGGCTGGCTTATACAAAGTAGCAATAGTAGTCACTTTAATAGATCATATCATATCTCGAATGAAATAAAGTCTCAACGTGCATATGTTTTTGTTTTTTTTTTAAAGGTGTATATTTTTGTCTTCTTACAGTGAAAATAAATTTTGAGAGTGTAATAACACTTTTAAAATAACTTAACACGTCCACGGTGTCATTGAAAATAGCTTATTCACCAATCCATTCGAATTTTTTTTTTCTTTTCAATTGTATCTTTTTGCAGCTGCAAGAAAAAATATTCATGTTAGTGAAGTCAGAATCACAATAACCCTTTCAAGAAAAATAAATCCATTGATTTCTTGTTAACTACCTTAATTCTTGTAATGGCATCGATATATATGTATATATGTACTTTTTTTCACTGAATGTCTTTTACTAGTTTACTCATGAAATGACTAATCATTTCAGATAAACCGAATTAATCAACGTTGGCATATATCACGCCTCCAACAGCATTTAAGTAGGACGTTACATCATTTCAATATACATATTTGGCTGAAAATATGTTTTTTTTCTGCCAAATCCTCCTGCAAACGAGTTCACACAAGTATTACTAGATTTCGAGCTC